GGAGTTCGGATGCATCAGTACTCCCGAGGTAATATTTTGTCTTCTTGTAGAGGCAGGTGCTTTTAGAACAGTAATAAGGGGATGAGTCGGTTACTTCAGAGGGCAATTTCAAACTGAATGCTCTAACGTGGGACTAAGTTCTTATTTTTTTGTTTTTAATTTTTTATTTTTTGTTTTTTATTTTTTGAAAGATTTGCACACATAAGACTCAAAACTAGCAAAAAAAGATGTGTTCGTTCGTGTTCGACTCGTTTGGCTCGAAATATTACTCATCAATATATATATTATGACTTGCTCGTGTTGGGCTCGTTTACACCCCTACTCAAAACCTATGTGTTTACATATCTCCTAAACTTGAATTTTGTACATACCAATTTTCCAATGAGAAAAGTTGTATTTCACTTTTCAAAAAGTTAAAAAAATGGTATTTTTATTTAATACGAAATTATTCCGTAGTAAAAATATAAAAAAGCAAAGTGTAGTTGTTAGATATGTAAATACATAGGAATTGAGTGGTATGTATATAAATGCCCCTTTTTAACTTTAATTTTTTTCCTAGTGTATCTAAAAGTGTATATATTTTTTAGTTTTTAGAGTGAATTTAACTATTTTTTAGTTAAAAATATAAAATATTTAATTTAAATTTAAATTTCGTTAAACTAAATTTAATTTGACTACATTTCTAATTTTTAGATTTTAGTTAATTAGAAATCCTAGTTGATGAATAAGTTATTTAAACTAAATTTCACCATTTATTATTATTATTATTATTATTATTATTATATATATATATATTGTCAATTAGAAACAAGTTTACACAAATCTCGAGGAGATCCATCGAACAAAAGGATAAAGGAGCACAACTAAGGAGGGCTCATATGCGGAAGATCAGGTGTCCACAGATGGAAGAAGACAAACCGAAGCCCATATATTGTCAATTAAAAAAATGTGTTTGCATGAATCTCGAGTAGATCAACTGACAAATAAACAAAGGAGCACAACTAAAGAGGGCTCATAGGTGGAAGACCAAGTCCCACAGGTGGAAGACCAAAGGTTTGGTAGCGGAAGACTAAGGATCCACTAGCATAAGACTTAGGGTTCACTAGTAGAATACCAAATGACCTATCTGACTTGGTGCAACCCCCCTGAATCGGGGCTAGAGGCTGATCGAATGCAGGTTATTTGAACCAAGACAAAGGGCAATCAAATCAAACAAAGGCATCGACATGTTCTCGCCACAACCCAGTTCAAGCGAAGAGTTTATAATCACCAACCTCTCATAGGCGCCCTCGATATTCTTCAATAGAGACTAAGAACTTGCCATAACACACTCAGTAGAGCATCCCAAATGGTCACCTTGACAGGGAATAGGCTACCTATTAGATTACAATGATTCACCCTATGTTGGATAACTTAGTCTTACTCTACCAATAGTTCTTTACCTAGAGATCAATAGCCAACTGACAAAACCAGTTCTATCAAATCAAGACTTGCTGACTAAAAAACTATCAAAGGTCGACTAATAACCCAAATTCAACACAATTAGGTGAATAGATCTCGCCAAACCAAGACCAACCGATTCAAGCCAACTGAGTCATTTACTGTCGTGTTCAATTATTTAAATAATTAAATATTCAAGATCTGTCATGCCCCTTATTTTCAAAATAATAAACTAAAAACAAAACCTTACTTGTTTGTCATATATATTATCTCGTCATAAAACACATATCACACTATTAACCATATATACTACGTAGTCTTAAAGAACGCATCACACTGTTAACCACAGATACTACTTGCTCTTAATGCATACATCACGCTGTTAACCACATATACTACATGGTCTTGAAACACACATTATGCTATTAAACATATATACCACCTGATTTTAAAGCATACATCATATTGTTAACCACAAATATTACCCAATCTTAGCACACATCACACAGTTAACCAAAGACACTACCTGTTCTTAACACACATGACACTGTTAACCATAGATACTATCGAGTCTTAAAACACAAATGACACGGTTAATTACATATATTATCTGATCTCAAAGCTTTCATGACAATGTTAACCACACATACTAATTGGTATGAAAACACATCCAACATTACTAACCACGAATACTACATGGTCGTAATGCACATATGACACAATTAACCATAGATACTACATAGTATTAGAGCACACATCACACTATTAACCATGGATACCACATGGTCTTAATGCATACATGATATTATTAACCGCATATACTATCTGGTTTTAAAGCACATATTACACTGTTAATTATATATATCACCTAGTCTTTGAGCACGCATCACATTATTAATCATAGATACCGCCCTGTCTTAAAGCACAAATCACACTGTTAATCATATATACTACCTGATTTTAAAGCATTTATGATATAGTTGGAGATCCTTGATAACACAATCTTTGATAACTTGATTTCATTGAGCCCTAACTTGATATGTTGTCTTTATTAAATTTTGTTTTAATTTTAATAATTAAAATTTTAAAATGTAAGCTAAATTATATGATTTCCTTTATCTTTTTATCTTCATGATACATGAGATTGGAAATAAAAAATAATGTGGTATATCTGTCATCGGAGAGACATAGATGAAGATTGTATTCTATGATATATGTTTGAAAGATATCAAAATTGTAAATATGCCACTCACATACTTCAATAAACAAGGTTGATAAAACAAACAAAAAACCTATATGAAAAAAACAGGAAGATTGCATGATAAAACTTACTTGAGGAACAAATGAAATAAACCAAAAAAAATATAAATTATTGAAAGAGTTAAAGAGATGGGCAATTGGATTAGGTTGTGACCATGTTAAGAAAATAATAGACGCATTGGAGGAGTGGTATTGAGAAAAAAACTAAGTATAAATGTTATATGAATTATTTATATTCTCGTATTTATTGAACTGCTATTTTATCAATTGTGGTCTTGCCCAATGCCAAAAAAATTAGGATTTCTAGTACAAACCTTGAGTTGGAGGAGAGACTTTATTATATGTTTTCGGTGTTGTGGCTACGAGCTTCAATGTTCGGGCAATAACACAGACTTTTCTCATAATTTGGATGAACATAAATATGCTTATTCAAATGAAGTCCAAGAGGAAGCTCCACATGAGAGAGAACAACAGAATCAAGTCATTCCAACTACTTTGCACTCTCCACACAAAAGCGTAAAAAGAAAATGAAGGTTGACATCAAACATTTATTTGAGCAGATTTCACAGCTCATTACGACCTGCAACAGTATGACATTCAATGCTTGTAAGGCGATTTAAGGATACTCCACTATGCAAAAGTCGTGAATCTATCAGACTCCACTTTCGAGATATTTGACGATATGCCCTTATATTTATTCATTATAAAACTTTTAGCGATGGAACATAGCGGGGGATTTCATGACAATGTTTCAAGGAAAGGAAGATTCCTTACCTCCAATATTTTTTAAATAATCAGTTCAGTGATGTTATGTTTTATTATTTATGTTTTTTGTTGTTGTGTAATAATTTAAACTTTTATGCCGAACAATATCCTATG